ATGCCCTGCTGCTGCATGCCTTGCTGCTGCATGGCCTGCATACCCTGTTGGCACTGTTGTTGCATGCCTTGCTGCTGCATGTTCTGCTGCTGTTGCTGCATGTTTGGTTGATGTTGCTGCTGGCCATGCTGTTGCATATTGTGCTGCTGCTGCTGCTGCAGCAGCTGCTGCTGCTGTTGGAGCAACTGTTGTTGATGCGCTTGCTGTTGCTGCTGCTGTTGCAGCAACTGCTGTTGATGCGCTTGCTGTTGCTGCTGCTGATGCTGTTGCTGCTGTTGCTGTTGCTGCTGTTGCTGCTGCTGCTGTTGCTGCTGCTGCTGCTGTTGCTGAAGCTGCTGCTGCTGCTGCTGAAAAGGCTGTGGGGGCATGTGTGGCGGTTGGATTTGCTGCTGTTGTAACTGCTGGGGTGACATCTGCTGGGATGGAAACTGCGGTGGTGGTATGGAGGCTTGCGGTGGATACTGTGCTTGGAATTGCTGAAATGCTTGTGATCCCGAAAATTGGGAGCTCTGCTGTGGAGATTGGTACAAGCCCTGGTTCTGATTGTAGCTCTGCAGCTGCGGCATGCTAGGTGACTGGGGAGATTGGAACTGTTGTGGAAAAGGTTGACCTTGAGCATTGAATTGTTGCACGTTCTGCGGTGACATTGCTGGCGACATCTGCCTCAGGTACTGAAATCACATCAGCATGCATCCCCAGCCCTACCCAGCCCCAGCTGTTCAGCCCTCATTCCCATCAGACTTCACCATTAACATGAACCACCTCAGCCTGAGAGCAGGGCCCCCGGGGCTGCAGCTGCCCTGCGAACTGGGGCGAGGCAGGAGGCCCCGCCTTGCTCGTGGGCGAAGGCCTAGCAGCTTAGCATAGTTCACATCCATTGAAACTGCTCAGGGCCCAGGGTCTGTGGCCAAACTTACAATGCATGGCGTTTGGAGTGCATACAGATGGCCCATTCTGCATCGTAAGGTTCTCCGGACTTTTGCCTTTGTTTCTGAGACCTTTCCAGCGATTAACGGGAAGTATGCGCGGATCGACATGCAATGCACTACGGGACTACAAAAAACCGAAGCCCATGTTCTGCAAAGCAAACTCCAACGAACTTCAACACCTAGTCTAGCCCAAGGAGCGTGGAGAGCACTTGCATCTGCGGAGACCTGCCCAAGAAGCAGCTGCGGGTGGATTCCGGATCACCGGCAGAGTGCAATGCTAGAGGAATTATGGGAAGCAACGCGCTGAGAAAACACACTGACATGCTAATACGTGCCGCGAGCAGCAGCAGATCATGGTGAAAGTTAAAATCTGAATATGTCAACTTGCGGCCAGAGTGCTGGGTCCCGCGAACTAGCTGGAGCTGAGGCTGGGGATAGCCGCTCGCCCTCAGATTTTCAGGTCTGCCTTCCGATCCTAAACCAACAAAAATCTTCGCTCAGCCTCAATGATGCATGCAAGGAACTGTTGCTGCTGCATTGCCGGGTTCATCTGTCCGGGCCTGAACACGCAGTGCTGGTGTTGAGCTTCTCTAAGTTTGGCAACAGGCAAAGCGAATGAAGACACTCAAGCGTCTTCAGGCTGCCCAGTTGAAATCTAGCCAAGCTGCTCTTGCCCTTGTGGAAGCTGCACGTGAACTGCAGGGATCGGCCTGCACTGCAGTTCGGCTATCAGCTGGAACATGAATCTCCTGCTGCCTTGAGCCACTCTGGCCGTGAAGGTTTCCACTGCAAACAGCCCTCTTCCAGTGCAGTGCTTTTGGAGTCAGTTTCGTTCAGGATTGAAGTCTCCGACGAAATGCGGTGGTACCATTGCCAGTGAAATGGGCTCAGTGAGAACTCATTTGCTCGACCGACAGTGTCAAGTAGCAAGCAAGGAACGCTGGTGGCCGCTGGTGGTGACATGCAGGCGTGAAGAAGGTTGCCAGATGTTGCAAATTCGTGATCAAAGACGTGACAGACACGTAAAAAGACTGCAAACCAGAACTGCACCAGTTGCATGCTTGCGGAACACCAGCTGCCCAAGACCCTGATGTCAGATCGACATGTACTGCTGGGGCGCAGGCGTGTGCTGCATGGGGCCAAGTGCCAAGCGTCTGAACTCCTGCACTGCACAGCTCCGCAGGGGGTTAAGATATGCGGCATGTGCTGCTTTAAGCTTCTGCAAATCTGAGCCTCTTTTTGAATGTTCACCCTCTGGATCCATCTACTGGGCGCCAGCCGTGACAATGAGGCGAATGAATCTTCTGATACAGGCGCACATATAAGTTTTAATTGCCGGACAAATTGCGGAAGAAGAGGGCCGTAAAAATCTACCAGAATTGCCATGGGGCCTCCTTCAATGCCAAGTTACCAAGACCCAGCCTCCGAAACTGCAGGGTCAGGGCTCTTCTGGCTATGCTCAGCCTGGCTGCAGGAACATCACTAGCACCACAAGCACAAAATTTCACAAGCAGATGGCTCTCACTAGTGATGCTGACGGCGACTCAGTGACAACTGAACACAAAGAGTCGCGCTGTTGGTTTGCAAACATTTTTGCCGCAGAGTTGCAACAGTGTCGCAACACTCTAAACATACAACTTGGGCAACCTCAGGCCTGCTGCACTCTTCATCCTGCAGACGTTACGCCTCGCCCCCATGCGCCCGGCTCCGCCTGGACCACATCGCCATCAAAGCTGCGTGGTGTGGATCCAGGACTCGGATAAAAGGCGAATTCGCCACCTCGTGTAGATGCAACTTCTGAATGCGAAACTTGCGTACACGGCTCCCGCATCTCCAAGCCCTTCAACTCGCTAAAGAATCTTTGAGCAGCTTACCCAGCTTGCTGAGCTCCAGGCCGATATCTTCAGAACTGACGGAAGCCGTCTCTGCCTTTGGACTTCTGCCGCCACCCTGATGAGAAGAGATTTTGTTGAACAATGGCAGCTTGCCACGCACTCAATGGCATGTTCAAGCTGGGTTACAGGAGCGCTTTAGCTCTTGCAGTGCTTGCTTGTGCCGATGAGCACCTGTAATCTGTGAAGTGTCATGTCACCAGGATCACGCGCCCGATGCTGCAATGGACGCCCCACAGTCCTAAGGCTTCAGCCACAACTGAAATGATCTGGGGATGACTGGCTTGGGACTGTGATTCAGGGGTATGTGCTGAAGCGCCCATGCAATTACACATGGACGTTGTCCAATATTCCCTATCCCCGAAATGCCCTTTGCGCGGACCTTGCGCTTGCAGGGTTTTGTTTTCGAAGGTATATAAACAAAGGCATGGATTCAAGGACGGCCCTCACATAACTTCACGTCCACAAACAAAGCGAACAAATTCACGACACAATGAAATTGTCCCATTCCCAGCATGGCTGGCCTTGCCGCCCCCTTTGCCCGCTGGCGCAGCCTCTTTGGTTCTGCGCCGCCTCAGTCCCGAAAAGATGGGCTTTCCGTGCGAAGCGCTTGAGGAGTGTGAACCAATACGCTTGCCCGCCAACTGCACGCAAGGCTTGTAAGCCGCGGAGGCAAGCACATCACTGTTCTATCCTATCCAATGCCCCATACCGCACACCGGATCTGGTTATTCCCAGGCCAGCTGCGGCTGAGGAGTGCGATCGGGTCACACACACACCCTCACACAAGCCTAGCCTCGCACAGCCCACGACCTCTTCCCTTTCCAGAAGGAACGGAAACCATAAATGTGCAAACTGGCGGCTGGCCTGCTGACGAATAAAAGCTGCATAAGCATGCAAAGGGCAGATTCAGCTTGCGCAGAGGCAGTTGTAGCTTGCAAAGCACAAGCTCTCTTCCCACTCAGGCCTTTTACCCAAAGACCCGCAACTCCAAGGACGCTTTACCTCCCTTCGAACATGTTTTTGAGGCTGCCACGCTGGCGTCGTCGGACTTCGACTCCCGCCCTGTTCAGAAACTCCTATGATCCCACTTGGAGGTTGCCCCATGAGCGATTAGCATAGGCCCACCTCAGGAAAAAAGAAACAAGGTCAGAGGCTGATGAATGGCTTTCCTCAAGGTGGTTGCATCTTCTGGGAATTGCTTACTGATCCGACAAAATGAGCCTCCTCGGTGTCGGCTCCATCCTGCAAGTGGACTCCAGAGCTGCAAAATGCCATGCATTGGACCGGATGGCAAAGTCTTCAATGTCACAAGTCAATTTGAACCGCATCGTGCCGCAAATCGCAGTCCACAATCTACCAAGCACCCGGCCTTGCTGGTCTTAAACCGCTTCAGGAACGCAACAAAGAGCTTGGGAAAATCGGCTTCTGGAACCTGCAACAAGGCCCGCAGAGTGCAAGCAATGTACTATACACTTTGAACCTTGCAGCAGAGGCTTCGGCAATGAATGCTAATGCTGAAACTCGTAGCCAAGAAAGGAGAGAAAGTAGGCTACCCGACAACGGTTGAGCTTTGCCTATTCAACTTTTGCGCACGTGATGACTACAACCCTCTGGGCGTCCATTAAGGAATGGTCCGCTGCATAGAGGATATTCCTCCGCCATCCCAGCCAGGCTTCAAAACCCGTGGACAGGTTGAGGGTCGTGCTGGGGCTGGGCCCTGTAAAGTTTCAAGGCTACTCCAAAGGGTTTGACCGAAGCATCATGAGATGCCGAGTCGCGGCTGAAAGTTCATGGTCCAATGCCAATGTCTGCATCGCTTGCTGAAGGGCTTCATAGGCCTTACTCTGGTCACACAACCACTAGAGTCACGTACGCTTGAACAACGATGCTCCAACGATGCCCTCCGGAAGACCGAGGCCATCAGGAGCCGGCAGCACAAGCAAGGCTAGCGCTGGTCGCATAACATCTAGACAAGAGCTCTCCCGCTGCCTAAGGAATGAATCCAAAAGCAGGAAACAGTTTTCTTTGCTTAGGAATTAGAAGCCATTCCCTAAGAAGATACCTGCAGACCCATAGCACACATGTCGCCTCGGGGCCGGGATTAAAGCGCTGCATGGCCTGTTGCCGGCCTTGGCGGCTGGGTGTTGCGGGTATGGAACTTCAAATTTAATTTGCTGCCAAAACGTCTGTGGTTCCGATCCCTCAACGGAGCGAGCATGGATTTCGTAACCTTCGAATAAGGCACCGAGCAAGATGCGCCAATGCAAAATGTGCCAGGGAAGGGAACAGACCAGATCTCATACCTGAACCAAGCATGCACCTACAAACCAAAAGACAAATCAGTCAAAAGCCATGCTCGTCAGGAGTTCCAATTTCGGATCACTTGAATCTCAAGAACTCACGGTTCGTCCTTGCAAGACATGCGCTGGAGCGGGTTATTCTCAAAGCCTACACTCCCACCCACAGTGAAGCCCTCAAGAGGCAGCTCAGTACAAGGCTTGATTCCGGCAGCTCGCTCAGCCTTTGCCGCGCCATTCGATCCAGCCTTGCGAGCCACAACAAATGTTGAGCTCAGACTGCCTTCTTTTTTCCCCTGTTTCAAAGCCACAAAATCAGCCTCCAGGTCTGGCAGAACTCCTCTTCGTCAGCTGGGAAAAAGCGGCCACTCCGCTCCTGGCTTGGTGGGAAACTATAACGCTTTTGCTTGATGTTGCCCAGCTCTCTTCCATGGTAAGTGCAAATGTATTCCGAGCTTCAAAAGTAAAATTGATCAGCACTGTTCCTTTCAACACAAACAGTGAATGCCATCACAATCGAAATCTAGAAAAAGAACTTATCACCAAACTAGGCCCCTTATAACTTATAACCGAAACAAATTTTTTGTTCTCTTAGAGGACAGAGAAAATCAGAATGTGAGTTTCCAGAATTTGCTGATCCTTTTCCTTTGAGCACCCTCTTCCTTTAGGCCTGCCTTTGCTTTACCAAAGATTTTGAAGGTGAAGCCTCAAGGCGCCCCTACCTTTTCATTGCAATTTAACATCCTACATCATGCTTGCAGCGCTTGCAACATCATCGCGGCTGCAAGCAAAGTTCGCCAGGGACGCTAGTGCGGGACTTAAGTGACTAAAGGCTGGCATGGGGTGTCTTCAATTTCCCTGAATTTGTCTCTCCCAACTAAGTTGACCCGACTCCTTGCTTGCCCTCTTTGGTGACTTCTTTGGCTTCACGGCCGGAGGCGCATGGATGCCCTGAGCAGGCACTTCACTTGTTGGTGGCGTTCGAGGCTTCAGCAATGCCTTTGCAACTGTTAGTGCTGAATTGCTGCAGCAAGCTGGCTGATTCAGATCTGCAAACAAATTCATACGGAACTCGTGTGGAAATGGGATTGTCCAGCCGACAGCTTACCCTCTCATCATGGCGCACCTCCATGGTGTGCTTCGTGGTGGCCCTAATTAGCCATCCTGCTTCCTGGTTGATCAGCTCGTACCTCAGGGACGCATAATCTGCCAAGATACCTCTGCAGCCTTTACGGTGAAGACCCCAACAGACCGCCAACTTGGCATACCCCGCGCGTCGAGCCAAATACTCTCAAGCTTAAATCTAATCTTGCCTCTTTACGGATCAAACAAGCCGGAGCTGGCCGTTGTTTCTCAGAGTTGGAGGCCTCTATGACCTCCAGCAAGTCCTGCCACGCCATCAAGCTTACTGTTTGCAAACTGCAACATTTATCCAACCTCGACATCTTCAGGCCCTATTCCCGTGTGAACAAAGGAAGTAAGCTCAGGCATCTTCATATTCCGACACTCATCCACCCCAAAGTCTCAACTCCTGCGTTTGCTTGATGTTTGAGTTGCAGAACTTAAAGAAAACCTGGAGAGAGCTTTACCCCTTGGGCATGTTGCATTCATGTGAGCGCAGCCTCTGTTCTGACATCGCCGAACAGTGGCTCGATGGCAAGCAAGTCGGCTAAAGCCACAAATCCTGTAAGCCGCAGCAACAGTCTCATCTCAGATTGCCGTGCGAAGTCTTAGTCCATGCTCTTTTCGGCAAGGCCCCTCCTCCATCTGTGATGGGAAGATCAAGCTGTTTGGCTCCGTGACGCAGGACATATGACCTGCGACGCTTGCAGATTCAACCTGAAAACGCCTTCATAGATTTAGATTAGAGTCAAATTCCATGTCACCTGGTGTTGCATGGGGAGTCGGGCTGGGTACTTAGGAGCGGAAGTGTCCCAGCCCTGCGAAAGAAACTTAATCACAAGAGCTCCAGTCAATATTTCGCATATAGGTGATTGACATGGCTTCCTGCTAAGGAAATATCAGGGACCATGCAAACTACAGAAGGGATCCCCATGTCTATCCTTTACGTTCCCTTGGCAAGCCTGACATTTACCACAGCTTATATGCAGCTGGATAAGAGCAATCGCAACCTTAGGCCCGAACAACTTCTTGCTGATCACAGTACGATGATCGTCGCTGTCCCTGGAGGCAGGACCCATGCAACTGAAATCAGCAGTTCCAGCCAAAGACTTGCTGGACTTAGATCTGATTTAGCGTGAAGGCTGCTGCAGTGGCACACAGATGCTGCATGCCAACCTTGGTGAAAAGCGTCTAAGAGTTCTATCCCCTGGATCACAACCGACCTCGCCTTGGTAAAGGCGAGCCAAGCCCCCAATCACAAGCCACCTACCTGCACAGCCTTGCTTCAGAACATTGAGAGGCCTTTCTGATGTTTATGCTATGCACCCAGCTCCCAGTCGGTCCCCGACAAACGCGCAATGACTAAGTCACTGGCCGCACGCGCATCTTCTCCAGCATCTCTGCCAGCACGGCTTCTGACATGGCCTACAGCCAGCGAGGTGGGTCCCAACTCATTAAGGCCCTTGATCCCCGACAAACTTCCGATTCACCTGGGTACAAGTAGCATTGCAAACTTAAAACTAGTTCAGATATCCTGCTTCGCTTGGATGATAAGGGTGAGTGGCCTGCCGGTATCGAGACGCAACATATAACGTTGCAACTCCTGGAATGAAATGCCGATTGCGATCAAGTCGCTGCTGGTACGGACAAACTCGTCAATTGAACGACGACTTATCTGGATGTAGGGCTCCAAGTGCTCCACGTGAAGCCCGGCTGTCCTAAAGCAGCAAGACACGGCAGGAACTCTATCGACAACCTCTACAAACTGAACTGCGCTGCACACGGTGGCTCTTCAAGGGTGGAAGTTCAAGCCATCCACGGTATCTGAGGCCAGTGCCAAGCATCACAAGTCCCAGCGGAAGCTGCCAGAGCTCATTCCGCGACGGGCGACGACTAATGTTTGAGAACGCCCCTTCAGAATTGAGGTACTGGAAAAACTTGGAACACTGACCGCTGCCTCATCTTAGTGAGATGCCTGCACCATGGTGAAATGTGCGCGCATCTGCAATGTGTGAGCTACCACATTGCCAACTGCATGTGTACCAATAACTCATTGATCTCCATGATAAGCTTGTCTGGTTAGCACACTGATTCACACTCAGTACTCTGTGGTTTTGTTTACGTCTGGCGCAGACTCTTGAACCCGGGGCGCTCGGAAATGCACTGGTTCAGGACGCCAGTTCCACGCTTTGCCAATCGATAACAGCAAAATGGTGGCGTCTGCAAGCATCAAAACCCCCTGGGCTGATTGTAGAGAAGCATGAGGCAGACCGGAGGCAGTACACGGAAGATACTGCCATCTGCCATCCTGATCATGTTGTCTCCATCCCAAGCATGCGCACGGCTCACATAAGACCCCATACCTTCCGGCTGGAGTCATGGCTTACGTGGTGCATACCACGGCATCATGTTCTCATAGCCCGAGTATATCCACGCTCGCATGAACCCCTCCTGCCAGCATAGACGAAGCAAATGCCGTCAACAAACGATGTTGGCGTGAGACTAAGAGACAAAGAGAAGATCAGCTTAATGGCAATGCGACAGGAGGAGCTCGGCTGATCACACTGAGCACGAAGTATGAGATCTTCGCACCAATCTCTGCCGCGCGAACTGTAACACTAAGTTCTAACAGTATTTGGATGAGCATTTATATCCTGCCGGTATCAAATCGTGCGTATACGACTGCTTCTGCCGTTGGCTCTTCGAGGACTCCGCCAAGGCACAGGCTGCCGGATTACATGTGCACACATGTTATTTCAATGTACATGTACGGTATGGGTCTCGAACGTTTCATTCGAGGCAACTTCGGACTTTACGTTTCCGTGTGAAGCTGAGGTTGCGCTACTGAAGGACGAGGGTCTACAGGATGGGACTCGCACTTGGTTCGTGGCATGTAAATGCTGAATGCAGTATCTTCGTATAGAATCTTGGCAGCCTGTGTTGGAGCATCGCATCACTGGCGCTCCTCAGTTTGAATTGCCAAAACAGTGCAGATCTCTCATTCAGAATCTCGAAGACATCATATGCGTGGTACCATGACAATGCTTCTACAGACACATCTCTGGAATGCTGCAAAACCTCCCTCAAGCTGGTGGTAACGCCTTCAAACCCAAATTGCAGCACAAGCAATCCTGAGCTGAACCGCATGACTGCATGTTGCGAGAACCTCAATCAATATGAACCTTCATGAAGCCTGTGTATGATCCAGAAATGAGGCTCTCCACATCACCGTTCAGGTCTCTCCGGTCCAGGGCCGCCTCCGCCTCCGCCTCCTCCTGCTCCCGCTCCACCACCGCCTCTATCCTGAGGTCAGCTCAGAGCAGCAGCAGTTGTCAGCAGAAGAAACTATCCAGAAGTGGGGCAACGGTTGAACATAAGTACTATGCAAGGGGTCGAGAAGAGCATGACCTTATTTCGGATGTATTTTGGATGAATAAGAGGTCCAAAAGGCAAACTAAAGCTGAGACCAGCCAGCAAATCTCAAAGAAATTTCCCACACAGGTCAACTGTGCTTTAGCAAAGGCATCTGCTAAACTAACAGCTAGGAGACACGTCCCCGCACGGATCACCGCTGTTTATGGATCCATGCATTAGGTGAAATTAATGATGTCATGTAGCTGTGGCACTGAACAGGACCACGTGGACAAAACCAAATCCAAATGACCAGGAAAATGCTAGACCCATGATCGTCAAGTGGATAGTAAGAGCACATGGCTACCTCAAAAACTGCTGCCATGCTTGCTCAAGTCATTGGCAATTATGGGGATGAGGCTCGCGTCTGTCGTCACCGCCCCTGTCCCTACGATCGCGGTCTCGATCACGGTCTCGATCACGATCACGGTCCCGATCACCTGAATCAGCACACGCGCACACAACAGAAGGCCTCCATGGCCTCCACGATACCAGTGAGATGGTCCCGCCCAGGATCGCCCATGAAAAACACTCTGCAGCTGAGCTGCGATCACGGTCGCGTCTGTCCCTGACAAGTTCTTCGAATGGAAAACATGCATGCGGGGTTGCACACAAAGAGCACCAAAGCACTGGCGCAACTTGCACTTCAAAAGCGGAGGATAGTGGTCCCATGCTTACATCTCTGCAGCAGTCTACTTGCACGCTCACCACACACTCCTCATGACAACGAGTCTTTGCTAAGAGCCGATCGCTACTGGTGGAGCACCACATCTGAACCCCGCCCGGCCTGTCATGACGTCCACCTCGCGCCTCATCCCGACCACCTCTCTGTCGGCTGCGACTTCGATCCCGCTCCTGCCAGTCAGCAAGGGCTGAGGAGAGAGAGAGAGATGTGATTTTGAGGTTGCTTGTGGCTGTACGGGTGCTTGAAAATGCAGTTGGCTGGGTAGCACCAGATGCGCCCAAAAGCCTGGGAAAGCAGTCCTTCAAGGATTGTCGCAGCTCGCGCTCGTGCACCTTTGCCGCCCAGTGAAACATGCAGTGGCTTCACAGAAGCTTGTGCATTTCGCGCCGGAGGGCGCTGCCGTCCAGAATTTTGATTGCCAAAGCATGATGGGATTCACAAGGGCTGTAGGAAAGGGGGCTGCAGATTTTAGACACGGCTTGTTGATTGTTGTGAGGAATTGCAGCTCTTCTAGACAATTGGCGTGAGAGAACTTGCTATTTGAAATTCAGGATTCAGGCACTGGAGTCAGGGCTTGATTCAACAAAATAGCTCCATTACCTGATACATTATCATTCGATTGCTCGTGCTAGTTGATTTACATTCTTGGACCCTAAACCGCTGACTCTCTTTGGGACTAGGCTGGTGGAATGCCATTGCAGGATCATGCCAGCAGAGCCTTCCTTGCCTCACATCAACCGACATCCGACTTCAACTTGATTGAAGGACTGTTATTGGAGTCAGCTGCACCTTGCTGCCAATCGCAGCGGCATACTCCGGGTCCTGGTATGTTGGACATCTTGGATGCTCAAGCTATCAGCCCACTGTACATCATGCACATGCACCGGAATTGTTGAGCAAGTTTTGCGGCACGCTAGCAGAGGCTGGAAGAGGAAACATGGCAAACCTCAGTGATGGGTTCCAGTAATACTACCCCAACTCAAAAAGGGGTGAAGCCTGAATCGGGTCACCACTCAAAATTGGTGAAGCCTGAATCGGGTCACCAACGAAGCTCCTTGATGGGTTTGCCCTCCCGGAGGTCTCGGAGCATCATCATGACCAAGGAGGATGGCTTGTTGGAGCGCTCAAGATGCCTGACGCATATCCGCTCTGGCTGGGTACATGCCACTGCATTCACGTCTACCACATCAAAGTCAAGTGTAGTCGACTGCGCAGTCTCTCTGGCGTCGGTTTGGAGGATCGAACAAGTTTTTTTTGGGGATAGCTGTCCAAAATCTGCTTGCGGGGGCTGAACACCAAGCTTGAGATTAGGTCAACTCATTTTGTGAAACTGGTGTCACCCATGTCACATCATGTCACATGAGTGCTTAAAAGTGAATTCTTCGAAGCCCTGCTGAGCTGGTGGACTTGGCAAGTTTCGTCAGGTCCGCATCGACGTCGTCACGGTTTTCCATGACCTGCACGGTATTGTCGAATATTGCGTGCCTTTTGAACCGGAGGATGCATGAAGATGACACATGTCTCCACGCCCAAATTAGTAGATCTATCAACCATTTTGGAGCCCAGGACTCGGCAGTTGCCCTGGCTGATGCAAACACATCAACACTCTCACGGCACCTCTGCCAGCTTCACCGCAGCTTGTGCATCCAAGCGGTTTCTCTTGGCAAAGTCTTGGATCTGGCGCGTGTTGAGAATCAATAGGGCCAACTACTTGCAGTGTGCTGCAGCCAGTTGACAAGACAAAACCAAAGCCTTCTTGTTCAAGGCAGTCATGCCCTTGAAGGTCCCCATTCGCATATCCTTCAGCTTCATCATCAGCATTCCTGGCAGAACCCGATTGTCAACATGAGATCCCCGGTCAGGACTTCCTGCCCAACTTTCTCGGCTCCTGATGGATTCTTGGATCCTTCCAAACCGACCCAAAGAGCTTGCAGGTCTGACTCAAACCTTAGTTGCCATAATCTCAACGTTTCATGACATTTCACGAAGCGGCCACTGTCTGCTAAGCGGCGTGTCTTTTCTCTTTTTCATTTCTTCATCAAGGGCACGTGTAGCGCGATCATCTGAGGAGGCAGTTGAAAGGCTCCAAGTCGCCAAAGTTGAAAGAAGACAGATGACATTCCGGCCTAGTCCGTGATACTCAGCAAGTTCCGCCACCTGTGGGTCGATCCCCGCACTTTTGATTTGCTCGTACTCGGAGGCCACCTGCTGGAACCTTTCAGGTCAAAAGCCTGACCCACATCAGTCGCAGCTACACCCTGACCGTCCCTGACCCAGCCTCATCTGCGCCAGCGACTCAGAGTCCAGGTTTGGAGGTGGCGGCATGCCCGGGAAAGGGAGCTTGGGCAGCGCAGGGGGCGGGCCGATGCCTGGTGGCAGCTGCAGTCCTGCTAGGCCCATCCCAGGAGGAGGGGGCGGGAGGGCAGAGCCAGGACCGCCGGGCATGCCCATCTTCGGCGGAGCAGGCACTCCTCAACAACAGGTGCAAAAGCTACGCTTGATTTGACAAGTACATTAGAAGATATGAGAAGCACGCTCTACTCACAATGCAACCCGTCTCCTGGAGGAAGTTGCAACCCTGGAGGAAGTTGCAGACCTGGTGGTCCTGGGAAGCCAAGGGCCTTTGGATCTGCAAGGCCTGCCAAGCCTGGGGGAAGAAGGTTGTTGGGTGGAAGACCTGGTCCACCGGGTGGTCCACCGGGTGGTGCCCCTAGGCCTGGAATGCCGGGAAAGTTTGGGGGCACTGTTGGAGGACCACCTGTTGCCACACCTGGCGGTGGCCCCCCAGGCACGGTCTGTGGCGCAGGGGCTGGAGGTGTGGGTGCAGCTCCTGGAGGCAGGGGGAAGCCCAGAGCAGCTGGATCCAGAGCTCCTTCCAAGCAATTACAAGACCAAGAAAACCGACAACAGCTGGCCCTGCTCACTGTCGTCAAGGCCGCAGCTCCTGCCGGTAAGCTGGGGATGAAGTCGGCTTCTCCGCCGGCTCCTCCTTCCTTAGCAAGCATGGCCAAAAGCTCCAACCTTTCACAGAACGGCTAAGCTTGAATCATCCTAATTGAAGTCCAAGGTTCCCCTCCACGCTTTCGGCCCATTGTTCAGAAAAGCCCAGGTCAGGTGAAGTGGAATCAAAACTTCTGCCTGCTTCCTGCTTGCAAGACGCATTAAGCCTAAATGTGCATAAACAGCCAGCTTTGCAACTTGGGCAAACTCCATGGGCTCAGCATTTCATTCAACATAGGCCTCTCCTTCTCCAGGCCTTGCCACAGCCGCAACCCAGGCGCAAAGGGTGGATGGCTCTGGATCACAGGCAGTAGCTGTAGGCTCTGGTCACTTGTTTGTGCAAAGATAGTTTTTTTCGCCGTGCTCACACGTTGTATTTATCTGCCAAGTTTGTAGGTCGTGGGTCGTTCATGCTGCCGGAAAATTTAGCCAAGAATGCCGTTTCTTGAGATGCGCCCGGCCGAGCTCTCAAGCATGTCTTTGAGCCAAACTTTACGCAAGGGACGACAGCAAGCAGGGGCTTGTGTGCTGACCTGCGATGCAACCACATGCAGGTCAGCATCACTCGCAGGAGAGGAGCTCAAGCTGCGTCTGAAAACTGACCAATCAACACAAGATGACACAACAGCTCCAGCCAGGCTCGCATTTTGCACGCGTTTGAATCCATCGCAAGAGAGACCCCGCGACATGGAACAGAACAAGAAGGGTTGCTTGAGCTAAAATCTTGATCGAAAGATAATATTGGAAGTTGGCGAAGCATTCCATTCCACTTGCGGTATCATTCACTAACACTAAGAGGTTCACCGTATGGTTCACCGTAAGAGCACCACGTGGGAGGTCGAAGAGCCGACTCAAGGCCTTCCATTAGACCCAGGCACGACAGCAAGCAGCACCATAGCACCGTTTACGTGGTGCGAGCAACCTCTGCGGTGCAAAACGGGCTGGAGATCTAGAAGTTTCGCTGGCACTCCATGCGCGACCTCCGCCAGGAGTTTCGCCATCCAAGGCTCATGTTTGCACACTGCAAGCAAGATTTTAAGTCACTGGCGAGCTGATTGCACACCAAAATATGCCTAAGTTAGCTGGCAGTCGCAGAACTCTTCGTCAGCCGCTCGGCCAACAACAACTGAGGCATGAATATCGCCGACCAAGCTGCCAATGAACTTCCGAGTCAACACAGGCGACGCCAGGATGGCAACTACTGCCTGGCAGATGGCTTGCAAACTAAACTTGCTCGGACCAGCCTGCAGCTGTTGCCATGCATCATTGTAACATAGCTCTCCGATCCCTACATGGACCTGAACAAGTCGAGACTTTCTCATCAGACCCAAAGCCCAGAAGTGTTTCAACCTTTGGCAGGCCATGCTCTGAGTTGTCGACAAGGGCTGAGAGGCCAGCTGCCAGGGCTGGCAGCTCCAACTCCTAAGATTCCAAGGAAAAAGCAAGAAAGCAAGGTTCCAGGATTCGGCAACTTTGTCTTCTTCATAGCTGAGCAAGACCTTTGCAAGACTAGGCAGGGCAGCTTGTTCCTTTCGGGCATGAAGACTTTCTTGCTATCCTCGAAAATTGGATGGGCCGTGCTAGAGTTCCGCGCGTTGCTGCACCATATTCAGATCGAATCAAATTGCTTGAATTGGACGGATGCCAAGACCGAATCCAAGTTGAAAATCCAATCGTAGCCGCGCTGTTGCTTGACACCTTGAGCCAATCTCCTCGTCGGGGTGTCATGGTGCATCCTTCCGCATGCGGCTGAAGACCTGTGCAAGGTTCTCCATCAATATCACATCAATATCTGCACGTCAATCGTGAGCTGCCCAGTTGCTGCGGAGAGAGGAAATGCTGCTCCATCATGGCCTTTTAATCAACTCTGCACGCACTGCCTCTTGAGTTTTCTCAACAGAGACAGCATAGCAACGGCAAAGAAACTCTGCCTCTGGGTACCGCTCCCATGGCCAGAAAGAGGTTCGCATAAGTTCACGGTGCCATGACTCCAAAACAGTTTGCAGGTGCTCCAGAAGCCGCTGTCTTGACCAGCCCACAAATGCTGGTTCTGCAGCGAGCACTTGCAAAACAGAGTCCAAGGCATTCTCTTCGAGGATTTTGCGGAGCGACAGGTGCCTGCCAGGTCCAAGCACCTCTGGTGCCTCTGTCAATGCAAGAGGAACAGGTATGTCAGGCGCTGAGCCCTCAGGTACGAAGCCGAAAGCGAAAAGAAACTGTTCGGCACTGTGCTTTCCGTAACAAATCAACACCTCCTGTCCTGCTTCGATTGATTCAGTGGAAACTAGCTTTGCGCACTCCATGTTTGCCATTATGCAGGCATTTGGTTGTGCACTGTGGTTTAGGAAATCAAGCAGCGGGATCACACAATGCACGTTCTCCTGGCCACCATCCAGCGGCAATGTGCCCGATCTGGTGGACACAATTGCTTGAGACCAGAGCCATCGCTGACAGCAGGCAACCCAGGGATGCTGCCCCCTTTGTGCATCCAGCGCTTGCCACTCTTCTCTCAAGCTTTCCAGGAGGACTTCTGCCCTCCGGGCTATGGGAGTCCCACGAAAGGCATTGCGGGCCTGTTCCGCCAGTGCTAGAGGCAGACAGCCTGATCCTGCACCTGCATCCTGCGGGAGTTGGCTCAGCCAGGGCCACCAAGGAGACTGGGCATCACTGCCGTGGCGAAGGAGCCACAGCCGGACCACATAGCCATCAGACTTGTCACCTGAACAAGGTAAGTCGTGCAGCAGAGCCTGGACGTCTGGATCCTCACTCGCCAACTTGCTGCTCAAGATTATGGTCCAAGGAATCTCTGCCAGGACTCTTCCTTTTGGAATTGCCTTGGAGGTGATAATCCCGCGGCCTCGGCCAGGGATCCACTCCAGGCGTATCTCATCTGCCATGTGCCCACCCTTCTCTTCCAACCAGCACACCAATGGCCGGTAGCCTGTGCGTTCCTGACTACATGAAACAGGTGAAGGCCTTCCATCGGATGGGTGAACGACAAAGTTTCCCGCCAACAAACCGCCGGCTTGTTGCACAAGCTTCCAACTCAAGGGTCGAATATAATGCATCTGGCTCAATCATGAAAGTCCAGCAGATGCGCAGGGGGCTCAAGGATTCCACAATAGCTGAGCCATGATCACATGCTCGACCTTTAGCCTTTGGCCATATCCTTCTGAAAGTGAACAGCGAATCTTCTGAGGCGGGTACGGGAGAGATTGAAACCACGACAGCTACCAGCAAGTACGCAAAGCATGCCCCAAGACCTCATGGCAGTGACAACAGCTATTCAAGATCATTGATTGCAGGGTCGCAGACCCTGGAGGCTTACAACTGTGCAGGCACGAGCCTGGTATCTCAGCACAAAGCCGCAGGGTGTTTTAATGCTGCTTCTTTGACTAGTGGTGCTGACATTCCGCAAGATAGGCCCTGGCTGGTCGAGAGGATGGCACTAATTTCACGACCTGAGGCTGCCAAAAGCTCAAACAGCTCTTGCTGATGTTCGCAGTAGTGGCAACAACCTCTCCCCGGGCAATATTCTGGCACACAAAGACCGTCACAGGAGCATTCCCACAAGAGGTCTGTGGGCTTAGGCTCCGTGCTCGTTATCCCCGATTTTACGCCACAAGTATGCCTTCTAAGAGATCCACTCTTTCTAATCTTCATGGTGAGCTTTCAAACGTAAAGCCTAACTTCAAACTGAAATGGCATCGTACAGCCCCGCCTAAACCCGAAACCTCTAGGTAGCCGGCGGAGCGTTGTCTCCGGGTCTGAGACCAGCCGGGCCAAGGGCGGCCTAGGATGCCCCCGAGCTTTCGTGGTAGGCAAAGAGGGCAATTCAGTTTGCCCCTTCTTTCCTTGTGGGAGTTGGTTCAACAGCTAAGCCGCCTTCAAGGGCAATGTCAATACCTGTAGTCAGAACGGTAGCCATGTAAAACTATTCGTCAGCATCATCGAAATTAATCTATCATGGCATCGCTGGTACACATGAAATGGTGGACTAGAGTTGGGATCTTGGGCGCACGTCTGCGTGCAGCATCCGCGATGGCTATGATGATGCTAAATTGCTCTGGTCCCGCCAGCACGAGGAACGAACCAAAGTTCTACTGTAAGCATGCAAACCTGAAAGCAGACATGGGGTTCAACCACTTAGAGAACGACAAGAACACTGGTGCGGTATGCCTGTCGAAGGTAAGATCTGTACCCATCTTCGTTGAGCTCTACGAGCTTCAAGTCCTTCGCCCAGGAGGTGAATCTGATGACCACATCACCGCTACATGGAACCTTGAGCGCTTGCCTGGCCACAGGACGGCTTAGCATCCCTCCCTCCACCCAGCCTCGTACGCAATGCCTTGGTAGAGCTCGTTCCTCAAGCAAGCTTGTCTTCACAGATTGAGATGCTATCACTTTTCGTTGGAACATCACTGCTTCGTTCCTGACAAATGCAAATAAATATTTGCGCACAAAACCCTCTAGGCACAGGAAGCAGATGCTGTGCACCACTTCGTGTATGGCAGGCAAAAGTCTCAAGGCTGCTTGTAATGAAAGCCATTGGCGCGACGTCGAATCCTTCCTGTACCCACTCTCTGCGAGAGAAGCTGCTTCAAGCAATTTCGTTGCGTTGTGTCTTGTTTGGACTACCTCAGACTGCTGGCCAACATGAGGCAATGCCAGGGCGAAGGCAAACTTGGCGTCTTCACAGCCGCGAAATTCCGAGTCTCGATGTCCAGAACAAGGGCCCACGCCTGCAAATAGAAACATGGCCTACGGAGGGTTGCAGGAAGCAATTGTAAGGCTTTGATTTCAAAATCTTGATCGACACTTGCGATCTCCTTGGCCTTTTGGTCTTAAATCGCGTGAAATGGCATGGTTACGGCACTTAACGCAAGATCCGGCTTGCCCAGTACACCAACGCCACCCCACTGCAGCTGAATACGTGTAAAGACCTCGAATGCAAACTGTCAAGAACATCCTCTTGCCCCTACAGTGCCATCCCCAACATGCGCCAAGCAAGTCTTATGCGTTTGCTAGTTTCGGTTCAGCGCTTCAAAACGCACACGGCAAGGTGAACGCCCGTGCCCGCCCCGTAATTGAGAGATCCAAGACCCTCAAATGTGAAAACGGGAAGTTGATAGCATTTGGAAGCTACAGACTGGAGACCACTCGAGAGCAATCCCCCGGCAGCAACTTTCTGATGGCTAACACCACCCGCCACGACATCCTGGACCTCTTTCAGGTCTCTGCCCGATTCGCCCCCTTCGGCCCTTCTTGCTGTGACAACGCCTCGACTCTCCGGAAAACGCTGACTCAAGCTGAGTGCGCTTCGCATCCTTTAAAAAGGATGAGCAACACCTGAATTAAAGGACCGGAGGACCCCACATGTGTAGTTTAACCCCAGTCTAAGTGAGATAATGCTAGGATGCTGTCGCCCGCCAAAAGAAAGAGGAACAAGAAGCCGAGACGATAACTGNNATTTGAGATTCGGGGACTTGATTCTCTGAAAAATCGTAAGAGGACCCACCTTGCGATTTGAGATATGGGGAGATGATTCTCGAAAAAAATCCTAGGGGGGCACCCCTTGCGATTTGAGATTTGGAGGTTTGATCCTCTGAAAAATCTTAGGGGGACACCCCTTGCAATTTGAGAACTGGAGACTTGATCCCCTGAAAAATCATACTGGTTCCCCTCCTGCGATTTGAGACTTGCGGACTTGATTCTCTGGAAAAATCTTAAGGGGGCACCCCTTGCGATTTGAGATTTGGGGAGATGATTCTCAAAAAATCCTTGCGGGACACCCCTTGCGATTTGAGATTTGGTACGGATAACTTGAAGGGCAATGGGGCAAACAGTCTAACCGTAAAAGCGGTGAATTTGAAAGATAAGGGGCAAACAATCTAGCCGTAAAAGCGGTGAATTTGAAGAGTCAGGGGCAAACAGTCTAAGCGTAAAAGTGGAGAATTTGACGGCTCAGGGCAAACAGTCTAACCGTAAAAGCGGAGAATTTTGAAGAGCAAGAGGGAAAGACCCTAACCGTGAAAGCGGAGAATTTGAAGGGTCAGGGGCAAACAGTCTAATCGTGAAAGCAAGAATTTGAAGGGTAAGGGGCAAACAGTCAAACCGTAAAAGCGGACGATTTGAACGGTAAGAGGCAAACAGTCCAACCGTAAAAGCTGAGAATTTGAAGCGTAAGGGTCTAACAATCTAACCGTAACAGCGGAGAATTTGAAGGGTAAGGGGCAAACAGTCTACCCGTAAAAGCGGAGGATTTGACGGCTCAGGGCAAACAGTCTAACCGTGAAAGCGGAGAATGTTGAAGAGCAAGAGGGAAAGAGTCTGACCGTGAAAGCGGAGAATTTGAAGGGTCAGGGGCAAACAGTCAAACCGTAAAAGCGGACGATTTGAAGGGTAAGAGGCAAACAGTCCAACCGTAAAAGCTGAGAATTTGAAGCGAAAGGGTCAAACAATCTAACCGTAACAGCGGAGAATTTGAAGGGTCAGGGGCAAACAGTCTAACCGTGATTGCGGAGAATTTTCCGAGGGGGGTGTGTATGATGCATGTATGTATGTATGTATGTATGTATGTATGTAGGTATGTATGTACGGAAACTCATGTATGTAACTGAAACATCGACCGAATTTCGAGGATGTTGCGCAAGGGAGCGCGATTTTGAACGAACTGTCAACGGAATTTTCAGAACGCCCCGCGCGGGAGAACGATTTTCTTTAAGATTTTCAGGATGCCCCGACGGGAACGCGATTTTGAACGAAGAGTCGATAAAATTTTGAGGATGCTCCGCACGGGAGCGCGCTTTTCATCAATTTTTTCGGCACGGGAGCCCGATTTTGAACCAAAGAACAACGAAATTTTGAGGATGCTGCGCACGGGAGCGCGATTTTCTTCAAAGTTTTCAGGATGCTCCGCACGGGAGCGCGATTTTCGTCAAAACAAGACGACCTTGAGCGTAGCATTTTGGTATAGAATTGGTATAGAAACCCTAGACATCATCGTTCATGGATGATCAAATTTTTCCGAATGCTCCGCACGGGAGCGCAATTTTGATCGAGTTTGATAAAGATAAGTCGATGAAATGTCGAGGATGTCTCGAGCGCCAGCGCGAATTTTGAAGATGCAAACATGAAAACGTCGACGATGCCGACGAATGCTATACCAATCCTATACCAGGAAGCTCCCCCAGATATCCCCCTCTTAAGCCAAGAGAGCCACCTCGAACGACGTTCATTTGGTATAGGATTCGTATAAAAACCTTCGACATCATCGTTCATAGATGATCAAAAATTTCCGAATGCTCCGCACGGGAGCGCAATTTTGATCGAGTTTGATAAAGATAAATCGATGAAATGTCGAGGATGTCTCGAGCGCCAGCGCGATTTTTGAAGATGCAAACATCATCAAAACGTCAAAAAATCGAATTGTCTAGCGCGATGTTTGAAAATGGAATTTTGAGGATGTCCCGCACGGGAGCGCGATTTTCGAAAATCGGAGCGACCAGTTCGGTATCCGACCCCCCCTACCAAGAGGACTTTAAAGGCGAGGGCTTGTATTTTCTTGATCGATAATCGCTAAAAATCGATAAAAACACGTCGATGTTTTGAGGACGTCTCGAGCGAGAGCGCGATTTTTGAACGAACATGAGCGCGTCCCGAATGTTTGCGCGACGGAAGAGCACGCGGTCGGGTGCGGTCGACGGCACATCAAACAATTAGAACCCCACACTGAATGTGGGCAAAAAGGACAACTGACAATCAACTTCTGCACAACATCATTAAGTACCACACATTTTTGCAACATTTGGCCAGGTTCCAATTAGCAACTGAGGCGTTCATAGCACTGATTGCATTTGCAGCGCATCTTCGACGCACTCTCTCAGTTTTAGCAATCATGTCAAGCCCCCTTCGAAACGAAGCACCTGAAATTGAAACCTAGAAGTGGCAAACCTGCGTGGACTAACAGTGCTTAGCCGCCTCAGTGTGTTTAAAGGACTTTGATTACTTGCGTCTACACAGCCGGGACAAAAGTTTCAAAGCGGGAGGCAGGAGCAGGCTCTGGGCAGGTATGCAGCATGTGCGTGAAGGTAGGTTCTTCTTAAGGCGTCAAGAGTGTCAGCATCCGCAGCACAGCGGCCTGGGCCATAGTATGATTGTTGGAGTTGGGCGGCGGGGTGAAACTGACTGCGCAACCCGCTACAGCCGCTACAGGGAAACCCGAACCCGTGAGGCTGGAGTTGGACATCCAGAATACGCCATAGCTCAGCGAACACGGCATCCGCCGTGCCCAGGCCAGCATGAGAAAGCATCCGTTTCTGCATGGAAGCGTTCGCAGCCCTCCTGAATGGCCCGTTACGGGGACGCAGGGGCCAAGCGCCACCAAAAAAAAGTTTCTGGTCTGAAAACGAAAAGCTTCAGAGGAAGCTTTTGTGATCTTGGAAGACGACCTCACATGTTTGAGACAACGGCGCAAAGCGCAGGTTCGGAAACGCTACGACAACTAGTATATGAACAGACTCTACCAGCCGAAAAGGCCGTTCAGGAAGTGGATGCAAGACACACGAGTTTGATAACTTAATTGTGAAGTAGAACATGTACTCTAAGAAGCTGGGATGCAGACGTTACAAGAAGCGTATGTAGCTGCACTTGGTGGCACGGACTTTCAAAACATTACTACAGGCATGAGATTACTAGTAGTGAGGTTACAGAAAGATGAAAGGCTCACGGCGTTTGAAAATTAATTGCTTCTGTACCCACTCATCCCTCCTTGCCTCAGCACAGCCGTTGGCTGTTTTCAAAGGTGCCACCGCAGAGTAGAGCGAAAAGTTAGAAGCTCAGCCCCAAAAGTACAGACTGACTCCTAGAAAAAGCCCAGGGCGGGCAGGGTTTGGGGCGCTTTCGAAACTTCCTGTGACAGGGCCTTCGGCCAAACGCTTCGACGTGAAAGAGATGATGAGGACGACTATTCACATTGCAGCAGCTGCGCGTCTGTCTGGTCTGCACACTTCAGCCTTCAGAATAGGCTTTAGCATTGGACACGTTCGCACAGCAATATCCCTTCATTCAACCCCAGGCCAACTCAGTTCTGAAGAGGAAGGTGAAGGTAAAGACATTCAGAAGGCAAACTGCGCAACCCTATCTTGACCTGTTTGACCCGACCCCTGAATCAGTTAGTAGAACTCCTGCCCACGTAGGGTAATAATACCACCAGTCAACCCCTTAGACGATTATTCCTATACTCCCCCCTATATCTCATATCACCACCACTTCCTGATTACCAAGACCAGTGTGGGAATAACCAATAACCCCATCCATATTCCGTAAGGCGGTACTATCATCCCAGAGTGGGCAAGGGTTCCCTCATAGATTTTACGAGGTTTAGCTTCAAAAGTTTTAAATAGTATGTACTCAGAATACAATTCTCAAAAAGTATGTTTAGATAATACTTATAAATCCATTGCCCGATGCAGTTTAGCAAACAAGCTGGTTTCACTGGTTTGTTCGGGTTGCTTACTATTGAGATCCTTTACCTCATGGTTCATAGGAATTTCGATTATTACCTTGTTATCCTTTTGACTAAACATCATAAAATGATTCTCAAGAAACCCATCATTGAGCCGTAATTGTCGTGTATGGTTTAACACAGTAACGATTTCTGATAGCTTATCATCTGGCTTTTTGTATCTATGATTATACTCTCTCCTCATCTCTCTGCATTGAACAGGATTTGCAAACAGTTTGTTATTCTTGCTGTATCCGAATTCTTCAACTGCCTTCTTACTGTGACACCTTGTGCATTCAACTTATGAACCTTCCATGCTACATATAAAACACACTACCTTCCATGCTACATATAAAACACACTAACCTTTTAAGTCGTTTGTTCCGTTTATCATTGTATCTTTCATGCTATCTATCTAAACATTCACAACAAGTCAACGTGCGTGTTAAGTACCTACTTGCTTTAGCATGATAGTGTCGTTAAAAATACACCGATTTTTCCCCCGCTTACATCTAACACATTGCCTGTCACAATGAGCTGGATAATATTCATTATCAAAATCCATGGTTATCTTCATATTATATATTCTTACAATATTTTTCATGGTGTATGAATTATGAAACGCATTGACACCAAACAAATTGACTACATGCTTATGATGTATGTCTCACTCTTGCAACGGCGGGGCACTCTGTCATAAGACTGTAAAAAACATCTTAGTATAAGGATGACCGAAAATATTCCTAAAGTGGAACCTATAGACGTACCCGAACACAAATACAAAAACTGCAAATATGAAATGTTGCCCAAACTACCTGCTTGAAACCAGAACTCAATCCTAAAAATGTACCGTGGCTCATTTGAAAGAATATACAAATATATCTATATATATATACATATATTGTTGAGTCCAAGTTTTCATGTAGATGACACATGGAAGGCAGTGAAGAAATCCAAAGCGATGTTATGAAGGTTGACACAGATAAAGAAACAGCTTGTTATGAAGAATACGATCCAGTAACACCAAAGAACATTATAGAAACACAAGATAAGGTTATTGACTTCCAGAAGAATAACGAACATAAAGAACTATTTAGGATTTAGGGGACTGCGCCCAGAAGCGGGCAACGCAAAAGCTGACCGAAAATCCTTCCCCGAAAAACTCGGGTCATGGGGGGTGGGGGGGGGCGGCGCGCGCATCACCCCCCTGGATCCCCATCCCACTCCCAGACCGCCACCCAGGGCCCCAATGAAACGCACCCCCCATGATGCTGATGATGCAGGCCAAGGGGGCCAACATCATCAGCATCATTGGGGGCTCGCTTCTCCAATCTGAAGTCTTCCGGTACCCGCTCCGATGCAAAAATTGGTGCCCGGGCCCAGATGGGCCTCGGAGGCTAGCTTTTTAAAACGTCCGTGCTCATGATTTTTTTTTGGGAGCCCCGAAGACTCCAAAAATCATTGGAAAAAACCCTCCGTAGCCCTTTTTGTCTCGAGAAGTTCTGTGTATTTGTCCGTTCGTCCATTTGCATATGCCTTTTCTAACTGTTTGGCTGACTTGGCTTCTGCCAACTCGGCGGTGTAGTCTGGCGCTTTCGGTCAGGCTGATTTTGAAGGCGGCTGATCAAAGAGATTCTCGTCCAAGTCTTGCACAAAGTTGAAACAAAAGTGCCGCCAAAATGCTGTCAAGTTGTCAAATCGAACAGCATTAGCAGCCTTAAAATTGTCGCTGTGTGAGAATACATGTGTTTGCTATGATCATCACGACACGTTGAGCAAAACACCTGCGATGCATGACAACTCTGACCGCTACAACCTTCAATCCTAAATCTGGTAAAATCTATGAGGGAACCTTTGCCCACTTTGGGATGATAATACCACCTTAGGGAATATTAATGGAGTAATTGGTTATTCCTGTACTGGTCTTGGTGATATAGTTCGTGAGATGTAGGGGGGAGTATAGGAATAATCTTCCAATGGGTGGGTTAGTGGTAGGCTGGTGGTATTATCACCCAAAACGGGCAAAAGTTCCGCTAACTGAATCTAGTGGCCACGGGAGCCCAGCCTTTGACGCCTCCGCCCAAACGGCATGGAAGCTGGGCCCTGGCCCTGCTGGACTCCACGGAAAGCCTTGATCCGCTTGCAGGCTTGGGCTCTCCTTGCTGAGCCCCAGGTCATTGGATTGGGATTACCGCTCGATGTGGCAGAAGGTAGGCTAGGTACATAGGATGTGATGATAAGTACACAAAAAGGCAAGAGGTCAAAGGGCTTGGGATGTTCCGCGGCAGGGCCATTCTAGTTCAGCTGGCTTGAGCTCTGAGGATTCTGAGCATAAGCATCACGACTCTGAAACCATGACATCCTTAGCTGACAATTCTTTATCATGACTAGCCTGAGGATTGCAAGTAGGATAGATCAAACTTATGAACCACTTCGTTATTACAGTATTGCGCTGATGCTACGTCTACTGCCGTGCCAATGCTACCGCCGTCGCTGCTGCGGCTGCTGCGGCTGCTGCGGCTGCCGTAGCCGCCGCTGATAGTTACTGGTACTTCGCTTTATCATCGTCGTCGTCATCGTCATCATCATTATCATAATTCGTCTTCACCATCTTCATCATCATCATCATCATCATCATCATCATCTCATTTTTGCTACGAAGAGCTCGTGATCAAGCTCATAGCAAAACCACTTTGGCTTTGCTTTCAACGTCCGATTCAATCATGATGATTGAGCTTGTAACCTAGATACACGGCTCCCTGTCTGAGTGTCATACATTTGTGATTATTTTCCAGGAAGCTCAAATCGTGATTGCGATGGGTGGCTCGCTCATGGGGCCTACCGGGCCGGAGTCACCCTGTTTTCAGCCCAAGAAAACCTTGGGATTCCCTGATGAAGATCATGAGGATGACATCGCAGCGCAGGACTCTCTCTGCGGCGAAGGAAGGAAGAAGAAGATCATCATCATCATCCATCAATAGCGCTCTCGTGACAAGGACAATCCCAGCGGCGCTGCAAAAAGTACTCATGCCACCTCATCCTCCACCCCTCCTCTTCCCCTCCCCCCTTCTCCCCCTTGCCCTCCTGCGCCTTCCCCTCCCCCTCCCTCCCCCTCCCTTCCACTCCTTCTCCTCCGCCTCACCTGCAGCCGCAGCCGCTTCTTTGTCTGATTGTTTTACTTTACTTGGCCTTGGGTGATGAAATCCATGAACTGAACCCTTGGGGGGAGCGCGTGAGCCGCTCGAAGCGATCCGCAGCGGTTGGATCCGGAAAGGCTCCTGCACTCTTCGCGTTTTCTTCAGCTCAGACACTGTGATACTTCAGCATAATCTGAACTCGAGAAATACTGCCCATCCTTGCTAAACTCAAAGCTCGGTGTCCCGTTTACGGATATTAAGTGCGCGCTTGCGCAGCTTCAGCCAATGCTCCTCTGCATCCTCTCCTGCGTTTCGGATCTCTTGCACCTATCTCAGGACCACTTTTCTTGCACCAGTGGCAAAGTACAGCCAAAGGTCTCAGTTCGCAGGACACTGCACTGTCAACTCTGGTCAACCATGACCAGCCTCTTGGTAGTAGGCCTTCTGCCTCAACGACAGCTGCAAAATTGGCCCAGCTATCCTGAACGAAGCTGCCCCGACAGCGGACAGCGGGGTAAGATGCCGACGAGGACTCGAGCTCCCGAAGGGCTTTGGCCTTTGCATTGGTGCGCTTCGGCGGCTTCAGAGTTGTAAAGCGCTGCTGTTTTCTGAGTACAAACGGCATTTCATGAATCCCATGGCTTGGCATTTGCTGTGATGCTACTGGTGTCGAAAGCATCGCCTGCAGACCTGCAGACACATGTGTGCGTGTGTGCCTACACCAAGTCCAAGTCACCAGAATCTGATCTTCACTTGCGGCCGAGCGGCAGTCTGGTCCGCATTCCTGTCCACGAGGATCAGGCAGTACCTTTGGCAGCTCCAAGCATGACAACATACTGGATGTAAGAACACTTGGGCCTCGCAAAAGCCTTCTCTCTTTTTGCACAAGGTGCTGTAGCGACAAGCTTCAAACCTTACAACTTCGTAGTCGTAGACCCTAGAACTGAATCAGCGTGCCTGAGACCATTCAACCCAAGAAGCCGGAAAGCAAGCTTCCTCAGGATGACACGTCCTGCTCGCGCCCTGGCTGAGTGCCCTGTCGCCACACAACTGCTGAAAGTTGCCTCAGCTTTGGACTACGGGGCGGTCTCGGCTGATCTGGGCCGCCAAGGGCGCTAAACACACAACCCGCACAGTAACCAAAGAACATGGCGGCGGCGCCTCCACCGCCACCACCACCGCCGACGCCACCACCACCGCCGACGCCGCCACCACCACCACCA